GCTTCAAAAGAACATCCACAAATCAATAGTTATACCAAATGTTTCCAGATTTTTGTCTTATTTAACAATAAACTCATAAAATCTGTTCCTCAGTTCATAGAAATATTAAAACTAGAATAAATCAATTAACAATAAACATGTGTGACACATGAAGATACTGTACGTCTGGCAAATGCATCTAAAAACAAACAAAAAATGTAATTGACTTCATCAATTAACAGATGGAAAAGTAATGTATGTATTATTAATTATACATTATATTATATATATACATATATATGTATATACATATATACATATTATACTTATACTACCGATGTCTTACATATCATCACCTTTTGGTTCTTATGTTTTCTTTAATATCCCGCCATTTTTTCATATCTGTCATTAGCCATAAGGATGTTACCAAGGAAAGAAATACTTGATGCAGGGCGATGAAATGCAAAGCAATTGGCCTGACTGCTGCCTTGACTGATCTGTGGTCGGTGTGGGGGGCCGGGCTGCTTCATTTATCAGATCATCATGGCTGATCTTAATGCTTCTGGCTAGGTGGGTGTTTTTCCTCATTGGTCTTCTAACTCTGGCCTTACACAGCGGCAGGTTTCATGTCAGAAGTGGCTAAAACAGTCTCTGTCAGATATAGCTGACTTCACAGAACACACACACATCAGTTGAAAACTCTCTGTGACTGAAGTCATCTTTACATTTGTGACCCTGAGATCTCTCCTTGAATTATATGCTGAGGTTTACATAGTTTAACTCAGCCAGACACTGGGTAAACATGGCGGTGTTTCACTGATCTTCATGTGAATAAAGCCGTGCCGCTACCCTCTTTAACCCCTCTCAGTAATGTTAGTTAGTTAGCTGTTTTTTTCTCTGGGTTTGTTGACTCCTCGACTGAGGGCGCAGCCCGCTCTGTCGGCCCCCCGGCCAGATTTACTGTGATTACACGGACCAGTGTTTACTTTTCCCAGCGTACTTAGCCCGCCGTTTCTTTTATTCATATTAATTCAGTCTCGCTCTTTCTCTCCCCACGGTTCTTTTCATCCATCCTTCCTCTGATAGCTTATACTGAGGGGGGTCCAGATAGGCTCTGATTCACTGCATGTTGAGACTACGGAAGTAGTAAGCTATCAGTTTAATGTTGAGTTTAGTCTAAAGATGAACTAATTTGTTTTTACCCCAAACAACGTAGCATGTGGTTTAACTTCAACTTTTATGGAGGGTGTATAACTCAAAAACTGAAAATAAGTTTCTTTGATTTGAGTTTTAAAACACTTCAGAAAAAAATGGGATAGAAATATTTTAATGTAAGTAGGTACACTGAAGGAATCATTAAAATCTTGGTGTTGGAGTTTAGCACTAAAATATGAGTTAGATTCACGTGCCTATATATGGCCAAGCTTTTCAGCTGTTCACTGACCCTCATTACATGCATACTATATTGATTTTTGTGCTGTATTAAATTACAGGCTTATTTTGATTACTTTGAGAAATTCACCGTGGCTCATAACTAAAAAAATAAAATATGCACTATAGCTCAGCTTCTGTTTGTCATGTGTGACCATAGTGGTTGTAAAAATTATATTTGTATCCCTGCTTTCACAGGGGTTAGTTAGTCTTACTTATTAAAAAATATTTACAGTAAATATAAGTTATTTGCCCATTCTTTATCGTTGTTGCTACTAATACTGCTGTTCCAGGGTTTGTTTTCCGTATTATATCATCAGAAAAAGAAGTAGAATGATTTAAAATAAAGGTAAAGCTTGGCTTGGTTCTATTCTTTTGTTTCTAAACGTAACACAAAACAAATTGCAGAAAACACATACAAGATGATAAAATTGAAGGGCGACACAGGTAAAAAGCATTAAAGGTTTTATTTCCACAATGAAACCTTTATTTGTATTCACAGAGGGCCAACTTTGGCCAAATTAGTTTCCGACTAAACACCTTAAATTTCTGTGTCACTATCTGCTCCTCAGCCATCCGCTGGTTTGTCTTTATCTGGAAAGGTGCATGCTTTGTATGATTTGCTATCTCCCAGCAACATGCCTGAGGACACACACACACACACAAACAAAAATTGGCCTTTAACAGCACATACTGCTGGGTTCCTATTTAAAGGCTGGAGGCTGGAGGGTGGGGGTGGGGTCCACAAAAGTCCATTTACAGTACGGGTCAGTACATCTGAAAGCCTTTACCACTCCAGCCAAATTCTTTGTCTCTCTCATTCACAGCTAGTTATCTAGACCGCAGGCTTCACAAAGGCAATTGGTACTATATTGTCCGGGCTGACATTAACCCCTGATATTTTCACTGCTCTCCATTAAAGTCCTCTTTTCCTTCTCTATTACCAGGCAATTCCCACCGAGCGAGGGGTCACACCAACCATGGAGAGATACTTAGATACTTTGTGACAAAGACAGAAAGAAAGAAAGAAAAGAACCAGAAACTGCAGCGGCGATTAGTTCCGTTTTTTTTTGTCGTCTTTACTTTTGTTTTGTTTTCCTCTTGGACACAAAGGTCTTTAACGGCCCGAATGAGGGCCGCACTTAAGCTGCTTTTCACCTGATCCCCGCCAAAATGGCAACCCATTCAAGTCCCATTTTCCACACAGTCAAGTCTTCCGTTCCACCACAGTTTGTGTTGACAGACAAATGGAAGAATGTGGAGCAAATTAATGTTAACGGGTTCATATTGTTAGCACTTTCAGGCCTTGCATGAAATGTTGTTTTATTGTCCAAGGAGAGATATTTCAGAAGGGTTAGACTGAGGTCAGCTGAATAGTTGCACGTCTTAATGATAACAATGGTTGTTCAGTGGGTCAGCATTTCCAGACTAAACCAGGTCTGACTTCAGGCCCTATCTAATCTTAAGAGACCTGATGAAACTATTCCATGGTATTGGAGTGTGACAATGAACTATACACTTGGTTTTAACATTTACATGAACACAATTTTGTAAATGAAGTAAATTAGTGGTATTAAAGGTATCTCTCAAAAGTAATCTTGAGACATATCAGGGGTCTTAGCACGGTACTTTAGAGGGTCAAGAGTTCAGCTGATTGCCTTATTGTCAGCACTTTTTCAAAGGTGCTTTAACCATTCCAGAGAGTATTAGACAAGAAAATGAATACATTTAACAACTGTTTTTTGTGGCATATTTACCAAATGTGTTGAGAGGAACATCGAAGCACCTTGGATATACTCAGGCACACAAACATGACTTTGGTTTCATTAGCAATTTTTCACCCACTGGTATTCCTCTGACTATGGCTAAGCCACCTGTACTTGAGGACAGTGTACAAGTCCTCCGTCAGCAGGTGAGGCTTCACATTTCTGTTGCAGTGAACCCAGTGACAGACAGCAGTGGGTGGACTCACACATACACACAGCCTATTCTCTCCAACTATCAGGCTGAGGAATGCCAGTGACTGAAGAGTCCTTGAGGCAGTCGACTGACAGGCCTGTGTGCAGACAGAGCAGACCCCCGCTCACCTGCACGCAGCAGATCCTCTATGCCCCCAAACCAAAAGGATACAGTGCACTGCGTCCGTCCACACTGCCTGTTTCTGCTTTTACACTTTTAGACTGATCCAGTCTTTATATATATATATATGTAAGACTTTTGTGTATCCAGGGTCTTGGCTTTGGATCAGGAGTCACATTTTTTCTCATGACCTGAGATGTACCTAATCAACTTTTCTTATGTTGGTATACAAAAATCAAATGAAATGGACAGCTGTGAAACGAGTCCAGCATCATGAAATGGCCACTATCATCTAAATGACTGGTGATAATATCCCCCTCAGCCTTGTTTTTTCCAGAGTATGTGGAGCTGTTTTGGCAGATTCTGTGTGCGTCCACAGGCTAGGGTCAAGAGGTGTTACGGCTTCAGTGAGTGTGCAGCTTGCGCAGGCTGGTGCTGTGATGTGTCATGTGAGCTCACAGCATGGGCCCTATATCTTCCACAGCTATTTCTGTCAGTGTAAAATCATGAGAACCACTTTAACCAACACAAGGCTGGCCAGAGGGTCATATCTTGGCTCGACGCAGCACCAAGTATGTTCCAACTATTGACAGGCCAATAGTCTGGCTACATGTCATCAAACTTTAAACTATCAAACTTTTCTGCCTTTTTTTTTTATTTGATGTTTGTCCATGAGAGCTCTCGCTCTCAGACAGATGAGTGTTTGAGTGTTAAAGCCGTGATAGGAGTGACAAAAATCCCTTTGTAATGGCCTTTGTGAGGAGGTGGAATGTCCAAACAAACACTTTCCCAGGGTTTGGGTAATTCAGAGAGCAATCCCAATAGGCTGTCAGGTTGAACCCTGCAACTCATTACTGACTGTGCTGAGCTGATTTACAATCACACTGTGCTATAAGTTGTGGTAAACTGTTATTTTATAACACTTGGATTTGCAGTGAATTACAGTAAATGTTGCTATTAGGCTTGGAGGTTATGAGTTTGTCTTTGCCAATATTTTGTAAAATGAGCTACACAGTGTATCATTAGAAGTGCAGTTCATAGAGAAAGACATGTAATTTTCATGTAAAGATGATGGTGAAGATCATTTAATTATTTTATAAATACTTCTTTCTTTATTTCAGTATACAAAATAACAGTATGTACATCCACACAAAAGTGGTTTACAAAATCCATGAGTTCAGCTCATTAAAAATAGCTCATGAAAAATAGAATATATTTTGAACTGCATATCAGACATAAAGGAGATAATGCACCATTTTACAAAGTCCTTAATGCTCTTCTCTCAATCCATAGGGATGCAGGATATGTCAAGATCCACACAGGACATGTGAGTGAGAGTCAAAACGTCATCCACAAAAATGTTCCATGGTTGAAAAGTACTTGAAATTCCCTTTGTGTTCCCTTTTCCTCTATTGTCCATCACTGCAGAGGAAAAACAGTACCTAGAAAAGTACCACATGGATCCATCAGAACCCTTCGATTTCCAAGGAATGAAGCCAACNNNNCCCTCTCCTCCAGCATAAAATCCAATATTATTTCTTTTTTACTAGAGATATAATAAAATAGACTTTCAGTATCCCTGTTAGGGGGATTTATAATCATTAACAAGAAAAAGGAAACACCCAGGAGGACGGCGGTCTTCACGTAAACCGGCGCTGTCGCCACACTCTCCACATCCATGTTTCTGAAGCGAAAAAGCTGAGAAGCCCAATTGGCAGTGTGGAGATTTGATACAAAAATGATACTGACACAAGAATAGACCATTTTCTCCTTGAGATACACATGCTAAAGCTTAAGACCAAAGTAAGCCTTCTTGGTACTGTAGTGCTTTGGTTAATCTGTAGCCTCGGATGGCTGGGTACGAGTAGAGGACTGCTGGTGGGGACTGCCGTCATTGGCACAGACTCATTTACAGACGTATCTCTCCACAATCCGCTCACACTTCTTGCAGGTTACGTAGCAGCACCAGTGGTACTTGCAGTGGCAGCGCTCCACTAGCTTCTCTGTGTACGGGTTGTAGCCACGGCCGCAGCACATCAGGTCACAGCTGTCACTGCCGAGGGAGGTTTTGTTGCACTGCCTGAAATTAGCATAGACAAAAAAAAGAAAATATTAAATGATTATTTTATTTTGTGTTGCAAATGAATATATTTGCTTCAACAAGAAAAGGGAGGCAACGTTTGGACTGAACAGCCAGCAATGAAAGGGGTTTGGTTTCCTGCCTTAGACATTTAAGTTTACAGCTTCATTCTCAAATATTTTGTACAATCTCACAGCCAGGGAAGAGCCCACAATAGTCCTTTAAAAGTGTCTGAATGACCGTTGTGCCTTAACCTTTTGTGCAGTCTTTCTTCCAAACATTTTTTTCCCTTTCATTTTCTTTTTGTTTTGTCGTCTTTGGGCAGTGGATGCTCAGCTTCTCATTTCAGAAGCCTAAGGCGTCTTGAATGAGCAGAGAATAGCCCTGCCGTAAATCACACTGAATACACAGGGCTGCCCTCCCTTTCTTTGGCTTGCCCTCCCCACATAATTGCATTGTTTTATGATGGCAGAGTGTTAATGACCAGCATGGTGAGGGACACACTGGGCTGATGGCTGCTGTGGGAGTGAAGGAGGAGGAGGAGGAGGAGGGACAAGACTCATTGAGAGTGTAAGACAGGTTTATTACATTGGTGGGAGCTGGGAAACAGAAAGAAATCCCCACTTAGTTATGTTTTGTCAGGAGCAAGATCTCATTATATTATTGGTGTCTTGTACATTCTGTAGTTCACATCTGCTGGTTTTAGCAGAAGCACAATAATGTAATTTAAGACTAAAGCACGAGCTTCATTAGCGTGCCTCAAGCCAGGGCCATGACACATTTTGGCATCAGTGATCACACTTAATCCATTAGGAACTGCTGCTAAAATTGACTTTCCCTGTCCCAGATTCTCTTGTTGGTCCAAAACACTGACTTTAGAAAGGGTTTCTACTGCTCTAAAGTTTTGTGATTGGGTCAGTGCTAACATTGTAGAAAGGAGCGAGGTCAATTCAAGTGTAAAACCTGATAAAAGCCTCTCCCCAAGTGACTATCGGTGAGTGAGAAATCAAAGCAGAGGTCACAGTATTGCGACTATGTGATCAAGTGTTATGATGTGGGGAAGTCTGAGACTTACTCCAATACAATCGGTCTAAGCACACATGGGAGACCAATCAATACCCACACATGTAAACTGACAGATACACAAGCCACACATCTGTGTAATGGCAGCAAAGTGGGTGCCCCATGATTTGGCAAAAACATTAATGTTGCAGACTGTGTGTGGCTGATGTGTTATCAGGCTATGCATTGGGCACCGTGAGTGTCCTCGACATGAACCATATCTTCTGGTTATCTGTAGAGTGGCCTATGGCTGAGGAACACATGATGTGACAGTCTTGTGATATATGACATTCAAAACATATATCACATGCCGTTTAGTGGAGCTTTTTCTCAGTGGCTTACAAAACCATGATTGCTGGCATGTGAATGTGCAAATTACTGCACTTATTCTCATAAAGTGGGGTATGTCTGGTTAAACAAGCTAACAGGTGGTGGTGGCGTATATTATCTGTTTAGTTGCATGGCCACAGGAGGCAAATTTGGGAGGTTTTGTTTGGTTGCTTTGGACCGTCGTCTCATATAAATTTTGACCAACATTACCCCCCCGCCAC